AGAGAGAGAGAGAGAGAGAGAGAGAGAGAGAGAGAGAGGCAGACAGACAGAGAAAGGAGGAGGTTGAGAGAGAGCGTGGATGATATGAAGTTATGGAGAAATGTTTTTCCTCGTCATAGTGCAGGGTTAGCGGTCGTTTGACTATTGAACATGCTTAAGTTCTGTGAGTCCCGTATATCCATAGCGGTAATTCCAGATTCATGTATGCTGTTTATCACTGAGAGTTTGGGGGTGTTTCTTAAACTGAGGAGTTTCTGATGGCTTTGCGATGCATTTGGGAAAATGAACAGATGCTCAGCGGAATGTGGACAATGATTCGAAAACCAATAGAGCAAACAGAGTAAGAAAAGGCAAAGAAGATTTGAGAAGCTCTTTTTGGGTTTCTTGATTGTGTTCATGGTGTCGCAGTGCTCTACTTAGTGGCATGCTATTGCGTTTTCGTTCTTTTACCTTTTTTCTTAATGTGTTTGCTAAATTGTGCACAAGGAGGAAGTGACCGTTTTGTCTTCCTTTCCCACAGCTGACAGAGGAATGTGAGCCTCAGAAGTTGCAAGACCTAGCTGCGGCGCTTTCAAATGTTACTGACGAAGTTTTCCAGTTAAGCTCCTCGTCCTCATTTGGGCAGTCTGTTGAAGTAGTCAGGTTGCAGTTACTGCGACCTGCGTCTCGTGTGTATGCATGGTTGCTGAGGAAGGGAAAGCAGGGGATACCTCAAACAGACAAGCTGTGGACTCTACGTAAACAATGAGTTATGTGACTGGGGAGTGCAAAAATGGAGGAGAAAATGTGTTGTTTGTCCGCTGCATACGTGTATGGTGGCAGATTATAGGAAGCTTGTAGCTTGCATCAGGGAGGAGGGTGAGGGTTAGGAGGGAGGGAACAAGGGGGGAGACGAGAGATGGTGATCGTATCCACAGGAGGCAACATGGCAGAACTCGTGAACGAAAAGGAAGGGTGCCGTATGCGACTTCTCACAACCCGACGAGAGAATCACAGGTTCAACGAAGAGATCAACATCCACGGTCGGTGCATCCATAGCCTGGCTTCTGAGCTAATGTGGACCAGGCCAGAGTCCATCTCACAAAAGAGCGCCAGCCTACGTCAGCGTGTGAAAAAATCCTGACGTACGGGTCGATGTAGGAAAAAAGGCTCAGAAAGTGTCAGAAACACTGGTGCCAGAGGCTCTGTATATATGCCAATGTCAGGGCTGTAGGTGAAACAAAATGAAACCACCAGTGCTCCCAGCACAGGGCAGTTTTCAGAACTATGGGACGAGACGAGGTTCTGAAACCGCCAGTACATCGCCCAGGCAAGCTTGACAATCGAAATCGAGCCAATCCAAAAAAATCGGGGGGCTTGGGGGTGCCCAACCACAATGGCTGGCAGCACCGGTCAAAAGAAAGGAAAAGAAAAGTGTGCTGCTGGCAGTTCAGCAAAGCTTGGCGTGCACTGGGAATCCACCACGGCAAAAAGAGGCTTGGATGTATTGGACCTTTTCTTAGTACAGTCATAGCGCCAGCGGGTTTGGGCATGTTTTTTGTTGGGGAACTATTCCAAAGCGGGCCCTCAAGACCGAGCCCTTCTTCCTGTCTTGCTCTGTTTTCTAGTGTCACTCATCTGTGTGGAGTGTACATTACTTTTTTAAGTTTTTTTTGGTTAGAATGATATAGAATCATCGATTTTTTTTGGTCACTGATCGGTTATGGGGGTGCTCTGCGATCGCAGCCGGAACGTTGCACCGAGCTTTGCTTTTCTGCAACCCCTGTGGCATTTCAAAAGAGCCAAGCAATGAGTACGAGCTCTCGGAAGCATCTGTATCAGTCAGTTATTGGCTTGGTTTAAATTGCTCTTAGAGCACCAGTACCCTGCCCCCAGCTACCCCATCCGCCCTCGTGTGCTAACACGGTTTCATGGGTAGGCTTGGCCTACCAGAGGATGGTGGGTCCTGTCCAGGGGCCGTAAAAATTTGAGTCTCATGACCTTGATGATTTCTCGCTCTCGTTTCGTTCGGGAAAAGTCTGAAAAAATACTAATGGATGTAGGTTGCATGCGACTGTGTAATGTTAGACAAGCAAAAGTAAATATTTTGCCAATTTTGTGCCACCCAAAAAAAATTATGGTGCGAATGCAAGACGTATGGCTGCTGTTGCCTGGTCAGAGCCCGGCGATGGTTCGGTACTCTGGTGGTTTAAACCGCCCATACACTCGGGGGCCCGGAGGCAATGCACTGCGCGCCAAGCTTTTCCGAACCGCCAGAAAAGAGGCGCACTTTTCTTTCTTGGCTGTCACAGCCAGCGATTGTGGTCTTGTAGACCCGAGCTGCAAAATTTGCAGAGAAGGCAACGAACAATTTTCTGCAAGGCTGGGGCCATGTACTGGCGGTTTAAGCCACCACTACCTCCTAAAAAGATCAGGCTAATGCCTGCTTGCATAGGCATAAGAAACCTATGGACCTTGGCTGTGTCGATCCAAACGAGCAATTGAAAATAGGACAAGCCTCCTCGTAACCAGTGGGGTAGTGAAATGGTGGTTTTGTGTTTGAAAATTTGAAGTCGCTGACTTAGTACTGTTCATCACTTTCTGCTTTCCATGCTGACTGATTGCTGAAGTACTAGAAAAGCAAAAGTAAATGTTTTGCTAAATTTTTGCCTATCAAAAAAAGTTACGGTGCGAATGCGACACGTACGGCTGCCGTTGCCAGGTCGGAGCCCGGCGATGGTTTGGTATTCTGGGGGTGGACAAAATCCAGCAGCGGCAGGATAGTAGTGCACAGAGGTACTCTGGTGGTTTCAGCCACCACGACCGCCTGAAAAGATCAGGATAACGGCCGCTAACCCCTGCTTGCATAGTAAGAAACCTATGGGCCTCGTCTGTCGATCCAAATGAGCAATTGAAAATAGGACAGGCCTCCTCGTAACCAGGGCGGAAGTGAAATGGTGATTTTTGTGTTTGAAAATTTGAAGTTGCTGACGCAGTAATGTTCATCACTCACTGCTTTCCATGCTGACTGGCTGCCAGGTATGATATCAACTACATTGAGGAGAGTATGGGGTGGACAAGGGTTCAGCCTCAGGTAGCACCACTTGATCAAGGTGGCGGTGGTACATCTGTGGGAATGGTGGGAGCTGTGGGGCCTGTGGGACCTGTTCAAGCACCCATAGCAGCAGAAAATTCAGGGATGGCTGATGGGGGAGGAACTTATGGTAAGCTTCCTTTTTCTCTAATCAATGGTTTGTGCGCTCTGAGGACCACAGGTGAAACAGTGAAAATGGTTTACTGTTCCAATCCCCCACATGCTCTGCTGCTCCTTTGGACTCCATGGTAGGGTGTATACTACTGTATAGGCACTATCCGTGGTCTTTTTCCCAAGTCAGCTAATGCTTTTGGATTAAGAGGCACAAGTCACACCTCCAATTGTTGTTTGTCACCATGCGTCACTTCTATCGGTCTACATCATCTTCGCCCTAAGATTACTTTTGTTTGTTCCTTCATTCTTATGCAGTAGAGGCTTTTAAATTATGCTTGCTGTGCCTGCGAAACACGTTCGCTCTTGTGCTTGCCGGCAGTTCATATCAAAGACATTTGTAATTTCTTTTGTGCTTTGAGATCTTGAGGCGTACTATCGAAATCATCGACGAAATGGCAAGCAGAATGACAAGTACCGTAAATGAGAGTGGACCAGTGCGAAGGTGTACCACCAGATCCCATTACCTGCATGCCAAGTGACCCCATTACCGGCATGAGGACTACCTTCTTCGCCCGAATACAACGTATAGTCCAGTGTTGCATACCCCGACGGTTGGCGCCCCTTGACTGGTCGGATGCCAGCCAGCCGACCGGTCGGATGGTCGGCACGTACCGGTCGGGGATCGTCGGCACCCCGCAAATTTTTTTAATTTTTGGGTGCAGAACCCCCAAGAACCCCACCAACATCCCCGCTCCCAATACCCCCAAACCGCCCCCCAACACCCTCATACCCCCCCCAATACCCCCTATACCACCCCTATACCTCCCCTA